GTAGAATTCTGACAGAGGCCTCAGCCTGAGGGAGTTTGCACAGAAGATTCACTGAACCCCTTCCACCATCAGAACAGAACTGGAAATGGCTTGGGTTTTTTGCCTTATTTGTATGCTATATTTCAGATTAAATGGCATTTAAAATTGAACAGGAATCAAAGCAAGTAAACCTGAAATGATTTGCAAATTCCCAGGGAATTATGCAAAATCTAAACTTACACATGTGTATGTCTTAATGTTTTTTTATATATAGCGTTTATTTATTGCTCTTTGTTTTGTTTTGGTGAGGTTAAGTCAAAGGACGAGAAGTCAGGAGCTCTGGGTTTTATTTCTTGTCTCTTAGAAAATTGCTGGAGGTCACCTTTCGTTAGTCACTTAACCTCTCTCTGCTTTACTACAAAATGGAATTTTAAGCTCAGCAGGTTTTTGAAGAGTAATTCATTAATGTTTAAAAAAAAAAAAGCTTTGTGCGCCTTGGCTGGCAGGTGCTGGAGAAATGGAAATTACATTTCTATTCTTTAAATACTGAAATTATCTAGTACTAGGGTTCTCGTGTTGATTCTGCTCTCCTGTAATCTGTTAAAACATAAAAGGCAAGAAAAAAGGTATTTTTTTGTAACAGCTCTGTCTTTAACTTCTGGTAATGGCTATCTCTTGTCAACAGAGTGCAAATCAATTTCAAGGCAAAAGCCAAACTCTCTCATTTACATATTGTTAACTGCTCTCTCTTTTCCTGTTAAACAGGAGGAAAAAGTCATTAGATGTGAGGCAGCTGTCTTATTAATGGAGGGGTGGGGTAAAATGTGAGGAACACTTCTTTTTCAGCGTATACTTCTGAACAGCTTGTTCTTCCGGGCCAGGACAAGAGTACCAAGGTTTGTCCATTACTTGAGAGGCTTCTGCTTTTTTTCATTTATAAAATCTTGTGTTTTCATTGTCAAATATTACCAAAATGAAGAGCTGCTCTTTAGTTTCATTGTAACTAAATCCCTGTCAGGCCAGAGGGATCGTATGAAATTGTGTCGTTGACAATTGCCATGCATACACATAGGAAAAAAAAATCTCTGCCATGACATTCCTTTATGATTAAAACTTTGTTACCAACCATGAATGAATTATGGAAAAGAAAGCTGGAAGAAATCATACTGATTAGCCAAAGGACTTGGATAAAATGACATTTCTGAGACCTTTGTATGCTAAAGGATTATTTACTGTCTGCTTACAGAACATCTTAAGTCCTTTTGCAGAGGGAGTCAGTTTCCCGTTTAGCGCAGTGTTTTTGTAAGCTAATGAGGGCAAAGCGTGAGCCATAGGCAATGATGCTGTGATATTAGCTGTGACAGGGAGCTTGATCATAATTATCTTAATGAGGATAGGGTTAATTACAGTGGAAACTTAAAGTTTTTTCTGTTTGAGTGAGGCAGCACTGAATACGTTGTGATGTTTTGTCGGTTTGATGTGACTTTGGAAATTGCAATGGAAATCTCTTGGCAGCACTTGCTCTCCTCTGGGAGCAGAGTGTGAGCCCTGCAATGAGGTAACGGAGATGGTACCTGTGGGTGAGATAATGGGCAGCTTTCATGTCATTAGAGCAGGGAAAAGCAACCTGCAATACACCTTAGTGGTGTTTATTAGTCTTTTGAAACTAGGGAAAACAACTGCTTGCCACTGCCCCTTCAGTGCTGGTTGTATTGTGGTGGTAAGATTGTGTGTTTGTTTTAATATACCAATACGGGGAGACATTTTTTCTGCTGTGAACTATGAGAAAACAGCACAGATTTAATTTTAGACAAGTTCTCTTTCTCAGGGGATTTCCCTCTTTTTATACTTGTCTCTTTTAGGCTGTTTGACTGCTTCTTGTTATGCTGTGTATATATACACACTCCTTTCCTTTTTTGTAATGGGCTTATAAGGAAATATTTGGAGTACATTAATATAACTATCTTACACTCATTAAAATAAAAATGCCAGTATTTGGTACTGATTTCTACCTCAGCTTCTCAAAAATGCTTTCTATATACTAATTCACGATTGCAATCCTTTCTTAGGTGAGTGATGTTATCTCCCATCTGCAGATGTGAAATTGAGGCACACGGAAGTTACGGGACTTGCTGAAATTTGTACCATAAAACCTATTGTGTGGATTGTACTTAAAACTTTTAAATTGTGGAGTACAACTGCTGGGCAATATTTCCTTATATATTATGGTAGAGATTGTTGCCTTGAATTTAGTAGCTAGTATCACTGAATGATAGCAAACACATTTTTTCCTTTTTTGTTTCTTTACCAACTGTTTTACCAGTTTTGTTTTGGTGCTAGTTTTTTCTTCTGTTTAAGATGAAAAAATAAGAATTCTGTGAATAGCAAAATAACATATGGATGTAAATTTATGTTAATGGCTACACCCTCTCTCTGTACTGTGGCAACCCCTGCCATCTCCCTGGACTCTGCATTTAGGTGATTAAATCACCAAGTGCACACTGCTCTGATGACATGAAAACAACAATTAATAAGCAACCCCCTGTGTAACATGGCTCCTTTTTAACTGAGCAGCTAATAACATTACATGGCAAAAATTATCAAAACCCAGACAGGTGTAAGGAGATTTGCGCACAGTTTTCTCTGCCTGTCTATGAAACTAGTACCCTTGTGTTCAGCCCAGGCTTGTGAAAGAAAGGCTGTTTCAATAGGCAACTCCCTCTAGTGTTTCAAGGCCTTTTGTCCCACTTCATGGCTTGTCATTTTGTTTTATGCCTCCCCTGCAGCAGTTTTGGATGTGTGCTTTCTTCTCCTTGCCAGTTGCCAACCATTTGCTGATTCTCATGATAAGAGTATTATATTTGCATAACATAACTCAGGAACAATGTGCATTTTGATGCTGACACTGACCAGAGCCCAAGCAATGTTTTTTCACAAAGGACCTATTAACGTCCCATAAGACTCTGTGGTGTTGACAAGGAGGTGGCCTTCTCTGAACTCCTTTGGCAAGTCAAAGTCTTACATTGAAATGTGAGGTTTGGAAATTATCCACTATTTATATAATAAAGAGTATTTAAGAGGAATTTGCTAAACTAGGTTTGTCAAATAAACTGAAATGAAAACTCAAACAGCTTGATAAACTCACTGCTACTTCCTCTGCGTTATTTTGCCTTTTAAAGATACTTGGGGGAAGGCACTGGCTGAAATGTTTGCTGATCTCTCGTCTGATCTTGACTTTGGCAAAACCAAGTTTGTTGTGACCCTTTGCTGAAATAGCTAGCTTAATACAGCATGCTAGCACAGCTCTTAACGGTGTACAGTTTATGTAGGCCGAATCAAGTTTTTTCCGAAACAGCTTGTTAAAGGCAAATGCAAAAAGTGCGACTGTTGCTGTCGTGGTTGTTTCAGTATAAAGTTTATAATAGAGGCTTTTGTTCTTTCAGCTTCAGAAATTGTAGTCTCAATGCATTGTAATGCATAGATATGCTATAGGGTGTAAGCATGGCAAATTTTCTTCAGGTCTGGCTGCTCAGCATCAAAATGGCATTAGTAATAGTTGTACCTCCCTTTCAGAATGCCAGGTCAACAGACTGTGAGTGCTTTGGAGTCCTTGGACTGAAATACACTGTTTCAATGTTTTGCAAATGTTACTTGAATATTCATAGTTTAGTGTACAGTACCCAGTGCAAAGGTCATGGACTTGATTTCTTTTGGTTGTTTGAACCCTCTAACTGTGATTTATATGTGGTCAGTAAGTTGTATCTACAAAAGTGGTATCTTGTTTTTGTTGGACAGATGAATGTTAAATTCTCTAATTTGAAACCCATATACTTTCTAATAATATTTGTATTTTCTTCCAGTAGTAGTGCCTGTAGAACTCTCTAACAGGGACCTTGGCTGTATTTTGGTCTTTGCCAAAAACTGGGAGGAGGGTGAGGAAATCCCCTCAGTATAAATGTCATTGGAAACTGAATAAGTAGTATAGGCTGCATCTCCCTTATTAATCACATTTTATAAAACAGCCAGGAGATACAGTGATGATCTTCCCACCGGTAGGCGTAGTAGATCAGCTGTCAGGTCATGCAATCTCAGCATATCTTTAGGTGTCTGGTAGGTGAATGAGCTGTGAATGCATGTCTGTGCGTATGCTCTGTATACCATGCATCTTAGTTGATTCATGTGTGGGGTTTTTTTTCCTGTTGGAATGTGCAAGCATTAAGAATTAAGTTTGGAGTAGATGCCTTAACAAGGTACAAAAGTGGGGTTTTTAGGGTTTTTCCCTGTACTTTGCTATCAGAGGAATGAATACCTCCAGAATCTTGTTTATTTACAAACCGTCATCTGCACTTCCATGTTGTGAAATGCTCCTTTTTAAAGCTGCTCTCTGCAGTCTGACCTGTGGCTTGACAGTGGGACAGTAAGTTCCAAAAAGAAACCAAATACCTTTTCAGTCTGGAGTAATTCTGAATTTTATTTTGTAGAGAACATTTTCTTTTGTTTGCAGGGACTAAAGAAGCAAATTAAGTGGTTAATAAAAATGAGAAAAAAAAAAAAAAAATCCCTTGTCCATTTCCTATTATTGCATGTAAGGTAACTGCTAAGAAATGATACTTGAAGTTGTATTTATTATTGTTAGCGGGGTATGATATTTCTTGGCAGAAATGATGGATGACAACTTAAATTTGTGTCCAGGGAATGAAGGTGAACTGTGACAGAGTTATTTATCTTGGGAATGGAGGTTAGGGTCAGGCGAGGCTGGGTGCCTGAAGGCACAAGACATTGACAAATTCATCCTGCAGGCCCCATATCTGAAGCCTTTTGTTTTGGATCCTGGCTACTCACTAAGTGACCCCCATCCTTCATCCTGCCAACATATGAAGGATGTGTTGCAGTGCCAGCACTCCCCTTGCCACTAATGCTTGTCATTCACTCTTCCGACAGGCCCAAACCAAAACTATTCCCACTCCTGAAAGGGAAGGTTAAAATATTTATTTCAGCTCATAATGGCCTCCCTGATTTAGTGGAGTATCATTTTTCCTGTTGCCTTTGTCGTTTGCAGGTCACTAGAAGGACTGAAAACATTCAGTTACTTGGAAGAGCTGATCTTGGACAACAATCTACTCGGAAATGACCTTCTGTTACCCAGGTTACCCCACCTCCATACCTTAATGCTCAACAAGAACCAAATATCCTTTCAAAGAAATACCTGCAAAATGTCAAATGAGTTTTATGTGTCAGCCAAATTAAAGTATGTGAAATATAGTTCATGTGCAGACAAAGCATTCTCTCGTTTGGCACCAGGAATACTTCATAGTAATTTATTATAGGTCATTCATAAATGAAATGCACCATTATATCTTCCTGTTGCTCCATTTTAGTGAGAGATCTAAGTTATGGCTCTGAAGAAATCTTTCTAATAGATAAAATAGAGAAAGAAAATAATGTCAGTGCTACCAGCGTGCAGCAGTTCCTGTGTTTGCTTGGGGTTCTGTTGCAGGCTGACCTCTAGTGGAATAGAGAGTGCAGTGAAACGCTATTAAGTTTTTATACTTTAAATAGCTCTTAAAACATTAAAGTAAAATAAAATTAAAAAAACCCCAAGAAATGTAATACCTTTCTCTATTTTAATGAAGTTGGTAATATGCACAATTTGGTAGCTGCTGTGCAACCGCAGATGTAAAAGCAAGTCACTGTATTCTCGGTGTTTCAACTCTGTATAAATTCATATAAAATCAAGTTCTTAATACGTTAAAGTATTTAGATGGATGGTTAAGTCCATTCATAACCAATCAGGCACTTCTCCATATGCCTGAAGTTAGTGCCTGCTTAAGTTTATTCAGCATAAATATTTCAGCATTTGCCCAAGTACTCTGCTGAATCAGAGCCCCTTGTCTGTAGGCTTATAGATAATGGTCTGTAAAAACTAATTATCTGTAAGCGCTGGGCATGGACTTGATTATTAAATAATTTTCCCATACTTTGACTCTTCTGGAGATTTGAAGACGCGTAATATATGGGTTTACAAAAGTGAAGGGCGATCAAATTGTGGCCAAAAGGCCAACTGAGGCCTGCAGCGTCTTAGAGCACAGACCATGAAAGCCCTCTCCTTGCAATTGCAGCGTGAGGACAAGGCTGCTCAACTGCAGGCTTTTATTACAGACAATGTAAACAGAGAGCAATTTACCTCCTACTAAAGCAAAATCCTCCTGCTGAGGAGGATAAAAATAACTGCAGATTCTACGATTTCTGCACTTATTTTTGACTCTATAAATAAATAAAAATCAGCAGAGTAACTTTCATTCTTGGGGCCCTGGAAATTTGCCAAGAGTGTCTCTTGAGCAGTGACGATCATTACTGTGCTAGGTATTTGGCTAGATTTCTGCTTAATGCCAGGATTCTGTGGATTGGATTTGAGTAACTGGTTTTATTGTTTGCTGCCTGAACTGGGCATGCTTTGATGAAGAATGTACAAGAACATTTCTGCTGATGCTATGGGTGATGGTATGTCTGGTGCAGCATATCTCCTACAAAGCGTGAAATGTAAATTTGGCTGTAAGACCCAAAAGCATGTGAGTATATTTGTCCTTTGGGGGGGTGTCAAGGAGGAGCTTTGCACTTGCTAAAAGGAGGGCAGGTGCATTGAATAAGAACTCAGAGAACAAAATCAGAGGGGAAAAAAAGATCCTGTCAGCAGTATTCTTTAAAGAGTTTCTGCTGGTCTCACAGACATACTTAAAATACTACTGTCAAGTGAGTAAGCTCTCAAAGTCAATGATAACATAATAAGAAGGATTTGATCTATCCTGGGATTTTTTTTAATTCAATCTTAAAACTATGAAGTTAGAGCTTTGAGAGTATTGAGCCTACCCATGCTATAGAAATAATGTATACATTTTGTAGTGTGCTGCCAATAATTGTAACAGAGGAGTTGCAGAAATGCTTGTAAAGCACCTAATGTATACAAACTGCCTAGAGAAGAAAAAAAAAACCACTGTCCATCATTAACATTTTGAGCCCTAGGGAGCAGTGATCTCTTGTAGGGAAGATACAGCAGTCTTCAGAAGCATGGAGACCTTCGAGATTCCTCTCTTCAGTGTGGATACCATATTTGAAAAAGGTGTCTTTTGAACTTGAATCACTTCTTTTAGTAAGTGATTTCTCTATAGAATTCTTTTAAAAATGTTCAAATAAAAATGTACATTTAATAGAATAATGAAATACATTACAGGAAAGATTGTTTAGTATATGACAGTAGCACTAGAGAAAGGACACAAATGAGCAAAGAATACTGATCTGAAACAAACTTCAATTGGTGGAATAACTTACCATGTATACATAAATATATACATATGCAGAGGGAGATAAAAACAAACAAAAAGCCAAATTGAGCCCTGTGAAAACTGGAATAACATGTAAACTTTAAAACTCATATGAGAGCTTTCTGGGTATCTCTTAATATTACTGTACTCTTTGCTATTTCTCTCCTTTTATTTTGGCTTCATTTTGATCCAGATCCTGTTTTGATGGTTCTGATAAAAGCTTTCTACTCCTTTTACATGGTTCACTTATTGTGTGGCATTGTATGTGTAAATAACATTTGGCCCCTCCTAACATAATGTCTGGATACAGTGTACAAATGTGAAACCTTATCTCTAAATCAGGTAAATACTTAGAAGAATCATCTAGTATTTTTTTCTTCAAACAGTGGTTGCATATTTCAGTTACAGTTAGGCCACTACCAGTTCTTCTACTAGAAGTGGAAGAAGCAAATTTAAATATTACTATTTTAAAAAGTTTCCTAGTGTTATACATCAACTTTTCTGTAATGTGTAATCTGTTAAAAATATTTTAAAATGCAGTCTATGTATCTGAAATACATAAAGGATAGTTACCAACATTGTGCAGTATTGGATTACATATGTCTAACATGCTTTTTTCATGTGTATAGTATGTTTGTTTTTACAAAAGTCTGATTTACTTTGGGAAACATATCATCTTAGTTTCTCTATCAGACACAATGGATGGCAGAAAGCAGTACAGACTAAGATGGATGGGTGGTAGGTAGGAAGTTGGTTTTGGAGGACGACTCACGATTGCAATCACCCATGCTTGTAATAGGAAGCCTCTTTTCTCCTTTTAAGTGTGTTCACTAGATACTAAGGATCAGTCAGGAAACTTCTAAATCAATTTATTCCCCTGTGTATGTTATTGCAGTGTGAGGTTTCCTGGCTTTTCACTGTGCTGATCACGTGTGTTGTTACAGTGGGACTATATAGTATAGACATTTCAATTTCCTTTACATTTCAATCTTTTTAGTATTTGTTAAAACTACTCAAAAGGGCAGCAGTGATAGTTTGTCAAATATATATACATGTATGCTGAAAATTAGATGGTGTTCACTGCCTCACTTCAAAATAGACAAGTCTGATCATGAACCAGATCTGTGATTCTCTGAAGTAAAAGCCCTATTTCTTAGTCCAGTGAGCTGGTCATCCATTTAACATACATTCTATATACTTCTAAAGAACTGATACCAAAATTGATCTAGAATAAAGGTGTTGAATGTAGATGTAGAATGTAGACATTGAATCTAGGTCTAGGTTGTGAATGGTTTAGAGAAAAACCAAAATATTTCACACCATAGAGTGGGAAATTGAGAGCTGGGCAGAATGCCCATAATGGTATATGCATTACTTATGTCAATACTTATTATTATCAGTGTGGTTCAGATCTAAGGATTATATGTTCTTGAGTCTTTGAAAACAGCGTGGATCGAGTACCTCAGCTGAAGAATGTACTAATAAGTACTTCTGGTATAATCTGTCTTCACAGAGGTCTCATCATAATGCCTAACAGTTACAGATTTGTTTAATCCCCAAACTGTAGATTGTAATTTATTTTGCTTTTGTGCTTGATCCTACATTGTCCCGAAGTGCTTGAAGACCTAGAAGTCCCAGTCTGACCAGAATGTTATTATGTTAAGTGCTGAGGACTTGATGTTTAGGTTGAGTGAATATGTTAAATACATAAATTGTCTCCTATTATGCACAGATCCCTATCTCCACTAAACAAAGATCTAAGCTGAAATGGTACAGCAGTCTTCCTGCATATACTTCTGAGCTCTCCATGCCACAACTGCAGATTTGGCTTGTTAGAGAACCGCAGTACCTGATGAGCCAAAAATCTTTCTTCTAGAATAAAGTGTACCTGAAGTAAAAATCAAGTAATGTGAATACCTGATGCCAAATATCTATGGAAGAGGAAGGTCGTCTTCAGTCCAGGCGATTCCTTATCCTGTCTTACAGCAATGCTTGGACCAGTTCAACTCCAGATGTCAGAACTTTTAGAAAAATGGCGAGCTGCTGCTTTATTCTTGATTGTCTTTGTGTTGCCTTGGGAACCTTGAGCAACATTTGGGCAGAATAGTGTTTTTAAAAAAAAAAAAAACCAAACGCCAAACTTTTAAAGAAAGGACATATGGTTTCAGGATGGGCCTCTCTAGAAAACCAGAAATGTAGTTTGATAGCCGGAATAGAAATATTTCTCCTTTTTCTCACATTTGTATACTTAAAAACATTGAAACCTGGTCTTCAAATCTGCAGCCTTGGAACCATGGGCTTTCTGAAATACCCTTAAAAGCACTGGCAACTCCAGCTACAGAAAGAAAACTGATGCTGCTCCAGTAGGCAAAATGGGATTTTTTTTTCCCAAGTATTCAGTATGCAGAAAGTTCTCCATGAGATGTATGAACTTAGTTAATTACCACCTGTGCTGCACCTTTTCCTTCTTGAGCAAAATGGTTTTAAAGTCAGTGAACAAGACCTTACCTGAAGGCCCTATCTCCCTACCAGATAGAGTTCAGGCCAGAAGATGGCATACAAATGACTGTGCGTGACATCCTATTGCACATACAGAAGGGGAAGATATATACTTGCATATTGCAAGCTATTTCTGTGGTTATCCAACCTTGAAGACCTAGCACATTCTAATGGAAAAGCGTTCAGGTGGCAAAGATCTTTTCACACTGCATTCAGAGGAGAATTGGTAACTTCTGCTTCAAGGCTATTTGCCTGTGGAATAGCTTGTGATTGCTACATCATGTTTGTGATAAATTTAATTGAAGCAAATGTTTCAAATGGGAATAAATAGAGGTACCTTGCTCATTTATGACTCTGGTAGAAGTGCT